AAGTTAATAAATATCCCAGTGCTCATGGGCCTACCAAGGGTCACTGTTAAGGCCTTGTGTGAATTATGCAGGCCTAAAATGAGCCCCAGTGTGTGAGCGCTCAGCCACTACTGTGGCCTTGGCTTTGGACTCCGATATGCTCATGGTTTCTAAAAGTATAGACGTTATCCAGAACGTTACTAAACTCGGACCCTTAATTCTGGATTTACCTACTGGGCATTTCTCTCTTTTGGATATACCCTGAATATGTCCATATCGAATCAAGATATTAATGTTCAACTCATTTATCAACTGCCCAAAACTTGCTTTCATTCCGTGTTCTCTATTTCAAAGAATTGCAGTGCTGCTCAGGAGATGACCAGAGCTTGAAACTTGCAAGTTTTTAAATAATTCCTTCTTCTCTCTTAACCCTTTCAACCCTCCATCAGTTTTATAGTTTCCAAGTTTGTAACTCCTTTTAATTTCTACAGCCATTGCCTGTGTTGACACCTTCATAACCACAAGCAAAATGATCTAGTCAGAATCCCAGTTCTGCTGCTTTCTAAACTTGAGTGAGGTATTTAGATTCTTTTTCCTTATCTTTTTATTTTTTTTCCCCTTTATTGATTTTTAGAGAGAGGGGAAGTGAGAAGGAAAGAGAGAGAGAAACATTGATGAGAGAGAACATCGATTGGCCACCTCCTGCATGCCCCCCACTGGGGATTGGGCCCACAACCTGGACATGTGTACTGACTGGGAATCAAACCGGCGACCTCTTGGTGCATGAGTCAATGCTCAAGCCACACCAGCTGGACTTTTCTTATCTTAAAAGCCAACCAAACAAAAAGCCACAACTGTAGATCTTCACCTTACAGAGTAGTTTTGAGGATTACATGACATATTCTAGGTAAAGCAACGCAGTGCATAGCTCATAGTAGACATTCAGTGAGGGTCAACCTCATGTTTATGATCATGTCTCACTCAGCTTAACCAATTCTGATATACAGTAAACACTCAATATATTTTATCATAAATATTAATGTTGTGACCATCATCATGATAGTCTCCCTGCATCCAATCTGTACCCTAAAACTCCATCCTCCACCTCACCGTCAGAATCTACATAAAATACAAATATTATATCTTTTTGTTCCCACTCTTTTAGTGATGCTCTGACCCACATGAGATACTTTACTAGATCTATGTAATTGTCCTGAGTCTAACCGAGGCTTCAGGTCCACTCATTTCTGCTGTTCAATACAAACTCCTTACATTGAAGCCAAGGAAAAATCTGTGTTTCCCCCATCCATCAACAAACAAAAGGCTATTTTCTCTCATAGCTCTATTAATTATCTTTATCACAATCTTAAAAGTTATAAAACATTATTTAAAACCCACCATAGTTATCTACTACTTCATAGAAACTTCTCTGCCTCCCCAAGCAGAATTACATGCTTCCAACTTAATCACTGTACTCTTGTCTTTGTACTTCTGAAGTAGAGTTACCTAGTACACATTTGCTGAAGTATAGTTAGGGGTACTGGAAAATTACAGGAGAGACAAACTAGATAGATAGATAGATAGATAGATAGATAGATAATATGTGTCACATATATAAAAAACTATGTAATGATATCACATAATACTGTTCTCAAGTTTTTTTTTTTGTTTTTTTTTTATCCTCACCCGAGGACATTTTTCCATTTTTTACTCAGATAGAGCGGGAAGGAGAGAGAGGAAGAGAGAGAAACATCGACGTGAAAGGGACACATCGAGTGGCCGCCACCCACACGAACCAACCAGGGTCGGGGACAAACTGCAGCCAAGGTACATGCCCTTAGCGGGAACCGAACCCGGGTCTCTCTGGACAGCAGGCCGACGCTCTAACCGCTGAGCCAAACCGGCCAGGGTTGTTCTCAAGTTTTATGTAACTGATTTCCCTTATATAAGACTGGTATGGAAAATTGTAATATTTATCAGGAAAATGTATTTGTTTAGGCGTTTCTGTAATTAATAATTCCTCCTGAGGACAAGCAGCACGTTTGCCAAGAGCATGGATAGTGCAATCCTGGGCTGTGGAATAGAGGTGCAAATTGGGTCACAAGGTGCCAGTAACTTTGGCCTCAGCCTCAGCTAAAGCATTTGCTCTAACAGACTGAGATTTCCAGTCAGTCTAAATTCTGAGAAGAAGTAGTTGATCTTGAACACATTCCCTAACCTTTCAGAGACTCCTTCCCTCTAAAATGGAAATAATGGTACCCACATAAAAGGATGGTTGCAAGTATTAAATGAGGTAATGTACGTTCAGTTTTAAATATAGGCTGTACAGCCCTGGCCAGTTTGGCTCAGCGGTTAGAGCGTCGGCCTGTGGTCTGGAGAGACCCGGGTTCGGTTCCCGCTAAGGGCACGTACTTCGGTTACAGTTTGTCCCCGGCCATGGTTGGTCATGTGGGTGGCAGCCACTCGATGTGTCCCTTCACGTCGATGTTTCTCTCTCTCTCTCCCTTCCTCTCTCTCCCTCCCACTCTATTTGTACAAAAAATGGAAAAATACCTCGGGTGAGGGAAAAAAAAAATATGTAGGCTGTACAAATTCTTGGATACACAAGACACAGACTACCATAGGCCACATTTGACATCAGTCTGCTTAGAAAGATACAGAACAGGAACCAGAAATTGTCATCGTTGTAGCATCGACGTTCCTCATCTGCAAATTCTTCTGGAAACCCCTATAGCATAGCTCAGATGGAGAAAGATAAGTTCTAGGTTGGGAAGGCTTGAGAGCTGCTTTGGCTCAAAAGTCTCACGCCCCACAGGTGCTGATATCTCTTGAAACAAACTCATTGTCCTAGCGGGCAAGGCCTCCGTGAAAACAAGCTCTGTCCTAAGAGCTGCCGCATTTAGGGGAGCCCCAAGCTGTCGCTGCCTAGCAGGTATTTACACATGTTTCCCCAGCGCAGATGGGATTTATCCAAAGGGGTCATTTTATCATAAATAATATGATCTAGTAACATAACTGACATCCCAACATTGATCAGGTTACCAGAATTTCTGTAACTGGAGGCACTGAACTAATGGTCACCTTCCTTATAAAGGTTTACAATGGATTGCTAATTCTCTGCCTGTACATACAATATGAACTTGAGAGAGATTATATAGAGGATAATATACATGCATGCATATAAAAACAGTGTCATGAAGGATAGGACATGTATCTAAGAGGAAATTATATAGGGAGAATTTTGTAAGAGAAGAATTATAGAAGTTATCATTTGGACATTATTTTGCCTGAATTTCATGGATAAACTCACAAGTAAAAGAGTAAAAACTTGCCCTGGCCGGTTTGGCTCAGCGGTTGGAGCGTCGGCCTGCGGTACAGAGAAAGAGCAAAAACTTGCTTATCACAGAGAAAGTTTTGCTCTATGGTCAGTGCTGTACCTAATGCACCATTAATACCCAATGCATGGTATTTGAGTAAACAAATGGGATTTTAATCCTTTCTGTTGTTATAAGAAAAACAGAGCTGACTCACAAGGCCCTTTGACCACCATTCACACATGATCTTACTTCCCAGACCTCTCAACTGGGACAAATTGACTTTAATGCTTTGAGCTCTGTCTCCTAAGAGTGCACTTTTTGTACACATGCCAGTAGAATTAAGAAGATTGAATATGAGTTGTTACATTAAAATGGACCTGCCTCTGTATGGTTGATTACCATAGTTAAATATAGCCCTTGAATGGTGTGCAGAATTATCAGTGCATTCTCCCATTGGAACACATGGCTGGATCATGGCAACACAGACTGCCTGTGTCTTATAAACATATACTATTGGTTATTGAGAATGGGCAACAGTTCAGCTAAGAACCAAAACATGGCCATTCCATTCCAGGAATCTCTTCAAAGTACATATGCCCTTAGTCACTGACATCCATAACATCATCTCATCTTTATATATGGACATTACAATTTAGAATCAAACATCCCTGTAATTCAAGAAGAATATCCAAATTTATACTGTGTATTAAAGTGTGAACTGGAAAAGTTGATGTATTTGAATAAGCATACATTATAATGTAAGTGAAAACTAACATTTCAAATTATATCATCCTAAGTGAAACAAGCCAAACAGAGAAAGACAAGTTTCATATGATCTCACTTATTTGTGGAATATAATGAACATAACAGTCTGAGGAATGGAGTAGTCCCAGAGACATGGAAGTGGGGTACAGACTGACAATCCCCAGAAGAGGAGGTGGTGGTGGAGAGATAAACCACAGAACTTATATGCATGTATGCATGAACAGTGGACATGGACAACAAACTGGGGACAGGGCAGGGAGGGAGGGGGAGGGGGGAATCAGTGGGGGAAAAAAGAAACATCTATAACAAAAATTAATTAATAAAAAAAAAGAAATTTAAACATTATAAATTAAAATAACACTTGGAGATTATCTGTAGATTTCCTATATATCTTCTATTTGGGTTTTCAATGGAGAAAATTAAATGAACAGCTGGTCATATATGTACTGTGAGTTTACATGAATAATAAAAAACATGAATACCCCCCCCAAAAAAAAATGTTAAGCATATATTAAATTACTTTTTGTATTTAAAACAATATTGTATTAAGTTAGCCAGGTGCACTTATTTAAATCACAAAACAGAATGAAAATGATCATATGTTAACTGTTCTTGGTTTCTCATTTTCTAAATTAAAACAAATCTTGAATGAGTGAAACGAACAATATGGTAAACTCAGTTTCAGCTAATTTTGCAGAGTCCCTTAATTTTCTTTTTCCCATGAATGGTTTAACAACTCTTACAACATAGGAGGAAATGCAAATGTTAGCTTTTAGTCTAACTGCTTTTACACATCATAAATGTTGATGTATTTTCAATGAAATTAGAATTTTACCTCCGTATAGAAATAAAAATGTCCAGGCTGATTTCACTCTGGAGCACAGAAGACAAAGTTCATAACTGCGTGTGTGTGATGAGAATATCAATGCTCTTTTGCAGATTTTGCCAGCAGGAGAAGCTGCCAATGACCTTCCAGTCCTGTGTGATCACCAAAGAGTGCCAGGTGTCGGAGTGGTCGGAATGGAGCCCCTGCTCAAAAACATGCCATGATGTGGCGTCCCCCAAAGGCACGCGTTCAAGGACACGGATCATCAGGCAGTTTCCTACTGGCAGCGAGAAAGCGTGTCCAGGACTCGAGGAAGCCGAACCCTGCGTGGCTCCAGCAGAGGCGGCTGCCCCCTGTGCCACGTGAGTGAAGAAGGGCTCTCTGCCGCCCTCTGCCCAAACGCGCGTCTGTTCAGCTGTGTCATTTCAGCTCAATAGTAGGTTGAGAAAGCGTGATTTTTTACAAATTCTAAGTGGAAGAATAAAATACATCTTTACAAATACTATCCCAAAGAATAGTTTTGCCCAATGAAAGTGTCTTTAACAAGCTGTGTTTCCAAATCTCCATGAAGGCTAGCTTTTTGGCAGCAATTCTCTGTTTATGTATTTTCTATAATAAGTGTTGGCAAACTTTTTCTGTAAAAGGAAAGGATGCAAATGTATTAGGCTTTACAAACCACATAGATCTCTGTCACAGTGATTTAACTATACCATTGGAGCTGTAGACAATATGTAAACAATGAGTGTGGATGAGTTCCAATAAAACTTTATTTACAAAAATAGGAGACAGGTTAGATTTGGTTGGCAGACCATACTTTGTCAACCCCCATTCTATAAAGTAAATTAAACTTTCAAAATATAGGTTTCTATTGTGTATTGAGCAAGTCCTATTAAAATTCAGTACTGCATATAAAAAATCCTACTGAATAAAGTAATATACTACATCAAAATGATAAGACTTTAAGCACCTTGAGGACAAATATTGTGCCTATTCACTTAAAAAAAAAAGCATATATATTACAGGGCCTGATTCACAATAAGTGCCTAATAAATGTTCATTGAATTCAGATAAATAAGACAATTTAAAACATTTGGCAGAATATCCATATTGTCTTTGTCCTTAAAAATATGATTTCTCTGACATTACTGTGAATTATCTCTGCAATAGATACATTTCAGCTTAGTCTGAATATAGAATATTTTATAAAACAACTTTGAGAAACTTAGTTTCTGAATAGATACACACAAGCTTCATTAGGCGCTTCTCTGGAATAGTTCAAACATTTAAATAACATGCATACAACTTGAACTTCATGAGCCAGTGAGGAGGAGAATTACTCCTCCTACTATTTCTAACAATAATAACAGTAACAAAGATAGTGATGGTTTGTATGAGATCTTCAGTTCTGCAGCACTTTGGAATTTTCCATTGTCCTCTGACGAGACAAGTGACTGCGAACCCCAGAGCTTTCTTCCTGACTCCCCTGCTTGTCCCTCTGACCTTTATGTTCCTCTCCACACCTTAGGTTCGAGGAGTTTTCCTGGATCTCCAATCGGAGTGCTCTGTCTCCTATGAGTTTCTTCTATTTTTGTCTCAAGCGAGGTGTTTTATTCTTTCTCCTCTCAGATGCTCAAGCACCATTGAGGAAATAAATGTATATTCTGAGTCTCTTTCTTCTCCCTCTTTTGGGAGGGTAGCATTTTTAGAATGTGCAACCAATTTACATTATTAAAAATGTATTCCTTTCACAGGACTCCTTAGGATGACCTAAATTGAGACTCTATTCTATAAAAATATACAATGTTCCTTTTTAATTCCCTTAATGAATGACTTATTTTTTTTCTTTCCTCACACCTTTGCCCCCACCTGCCTCCTGACACACTTCGCCCAGGGCGTCAATTATCCATGTTTTTAGAATTAACTAGAATGCTGTACTTCCTGTATCAACATGTGTTGAGAGTGTTATTACTTATGCCCCAGCCCTGCACGTCTGTGAAGCCAGGAATCCCCACTTATCCAAATGAAAAGGGGCATGAATGTCAGCTTGACACTCCTCTATTGACAAAGCCAAGTGTCCAGATCAGACAGAGGAGAGCCCATTACATCTTTGTGTCTAATTGAGATGAACATTAGCACATCCATTTGCACCTATGCTGGCTGTTAATCTGATTAGTGAGGAAGCATTTTGGTTAAAGTGACACAAAGTGCTATGTGAGCCACTTTCTCTGTGCTTTTAGAATATCCATTTTCCTTGAGGTGGAGAAATGCCACCACTTTCTGTCTTCAGTGGCACCGGGAAAGGGTTCCCTGCCTCTCTCCTGAAAGCACGCATCGGGCTGACAAGCTCCTGACATTTCTTCCATGACATAATCTTGATTGGAGCTTTAATTTAGAATCCGAGGTCGTCTTTCCTGTGTTCCACTGATTAGAAATGTCAGCTCTTTTCATCATTTATCAGCGCTCATCAGGGATGCTCAGTGCCACAGAAAAACACTCCGTCTTGACAACAGAGAGAGAACTCTAAATGGTTCATGTTATATAGTTTATCCTAAAACACAATTACAATTTTCATCTAAATTTTTCTGCATCTTATTAATGGCAAAACAAATGTCTGGGTTGGTCACCCCTTAGAATGTTTTTCATGCTCAGATCCAGTCCTCTGTTGTTGATAAGTAACAAGAAAGGGCAAGCCTAGGTTCAGTGTAACTGAACGTAAAATTTTACATCTTCATCATTATGTTCTCTTTTAATAAAATATTTATAAGCAACGTCCAGTCATTGCGATGACAACAGAACCGTCCAAAGATTTACTCCTCCCATGGAGCATTGCTGAGGATAAAAGAGAAGCGAATGGCTCTGAATCTGCATCGTGGATATGGTAGTCTACGCTTGATGCAAGAGGAAAGTGGTGTTTGGACTAATGGTTTAAGAAAAAAATATGAGCCCTGGCCGGTTTGGCTCAGCAGTTAGAGCGTCGGCCTGCGGTCCAGAGAGACCTGGGTTTGGTTCCCACTAAGGGCATGTACCTCGGTGCAGTTTGTCCCCGGCCCTGGTTGGGTCGTGCGGGTGGTGGCCACTCGATGTGTCCCTTTCACGTCGATGTTTCTCTCTCTCTCTCTTCCTCTCTCTCCCTCCTGCTCTGAGTGAGCAAAAAAAAAGGAAAAATAGCCTCGAGTGAGGATAAAAGAAAGAAAGAAAAAAAAATATGAGCAGAGCAGAGCACAGATTTGTCACCAAGCATGGTTTTCCGTATTCAGGTATGGCTGGAGGACCACAGAGTGGAGCGAGTGCCGCGTGGACCCTTTGCTCAGTCAGCAGGACAAGAGGCGGGGCAACCAGACAGCCCTCTGCGGAGGCGGGGTCCAGACCCGGGAGGCGTACTGCGTGCAGACCAATGAAAACCTGGCACACCTCAACACCCACAAGGACAAGGAAGGTAACTCTGTTTTCTTCTCCAGGATCGTGCATGGGTACCGAGCGTGGGGTGATGCAGGGATAAACACTTGGCCATCTGGGGTGTGAATGGCCATATTTCTGTTCACAGTATGGTTGTTGTCCACTATGGGGAACAGTAATCCAATTTTTGGTTGTAAAATTTAATTCAATTCCATCTTTGGTCAATTCTGATTTACTGACAGGTCTCTCATTAAATTTTCTAACTTCAGGCTCTGAGTGAAAATTTAGCAGAAGTAATTAATTATAAAAATAGAATAACTTGCCCGGCTGGTGTAGCTCAGCGGTTGAGCATCAACCCATGCACTAAGAGGTCGCCGGTTCGATTCCTGGTCAGAGCACATGCCCAGATTGTGAGGCTGATCCCCAGTGGGGGGCATGCAGGAGGCAGCTGATCAGTGTTCACTCTCATCGATGTTTCTATCTCTTCCTCTCATTTCCTCTCTCTCTCTAAAATCAATGAAGGAGATAAAAAAAAAAAGAATAACTCATCTTGTAAATATATGTGAAAAAAGTATATATTCTAAAGCCCAAGTTTTCTTTTCTTTGTGTAAAAAGTAAAATTTGTTTATTAAAAATAAGAACAAAAAATAACACCTCCTTTTGCTATTTATAATGTGGTTGGAAAAGAAGTTAATTGTAGTATAGTACTGAGTGAAAAATTCAATTTGAGTTTAAATGAAGTAAATGCAGAATAAATATAGAATCAAACTGTAGTAAAAATCAAACAAAACAACCTTTAACCCAAAGGCATGACTATTTTCTTTAATATTTTCATTAAACACATCTTAAAATTTTTTTGTTTAAGTCTCAGTTTTGGATCAGGTAAGATAAATGTGTAAAAAAGTGATTTCAAGATGGCCAGGGCTAAATGTATATATTATCATATATTACTATTACTCTGAAATTCTAGTCATTATTGGATCAAATTTATAGTCAACAAGTAGCTTTTACATCCACACAAATATAAATATTTTAAAGCAATGCTGTAAGCTAACCCTCCTACATTTACTTCTACCTGAAGGACAGCAGGACATTTATCACTAATCTATTCAACATTTATTTTTTAGTTGACAACAGAGTTCCAAAAATTGTACAAGGTGGTGAGGATAGAAATGTCAACACAGATTTCGTGTCAGGAAAATGTTCATGGTCATCACGAGGGAGCACAAACAAGCCAATTGTTATAATACAATATGCTCTGCATTATAAATGAGTTTTAGAATAACTGTACGGGGATCACAGAAACGGAGACCTTCATAGGGGCAGGAAGTGGTACTTGAACTGAGTGACGATGAGTATGTGCCATAACATGAAGCGGATTGGGATTGCAAGAGGGAACCGCATTAGTACACCATTAAAGAAAAGCAAAAACAAATGAGTAATCTTGCCAAAGGAGAGTATGTTGTATTTATCAAGTTGTGGGTATGATAGGATAGTAATCCCCAGCAAATATGTTTGTTGAAAAGAGAAAATAATTAAGATAAAGACAAAGACCTTAGTTGACATTAACAGAGAACAAAAAAAGCAGGCGGGCGGTGGGGGGGAGGGTGGATATGCAGAGAAGGAGTCTGATCAAGAATAACCAGGAAAAAAAAGGGAAAGAACCAAGAAAAATGGGTGTTTCAGAAAACCAAAGAAGAGATGACTCCTCTGCCTCCCCAAAGAGGAGTGACACCAGGGACTGCCGATTCATGGAAAATAAGCACTGAAGTTTTGCATTTGTAGCTTGTAAAATTTAATTGTTTTTTGTCCACTAACTTTACATAGCATGTCAACTCATTTAGAATCTAGCCTAGGGATACATTTTACTACTAATGTATCTTGAAGTAGTAAAGAAGTAGCATAAAACATGTAATATTAGTACATTAATATTTTCTTGGCCACTTTAATGGCTACGTTTTTAACACTCTTAAGGTGGATTTATTATAGCAGTCTTTTCAGAGTAGTATAATTTCATTGCTAGAGGTAGATCCGAGTTTGTTTCTGAATGTCAATTATGTCCTGTAGGTTATTACTTTCAAAAGAGCCTTCGGAATTCTGAATTGCAACTGGATGTGTTTTTACATCATTTTGTCGTGGAGTTTCCCTACTGCTGTCAAAACACAGCAGAATGCCAAAAATAAAAGTCACACCAAAAAGGAAAACAAAAAGAATGTCATGGTAACATGTGTCTATTGGACTAAGCAAATGCCAAAGCAAAAATCACTGGATATGGAAATAGTTCTTAAATGAATATTTATCATGTACGCATGTTACATAAATAATTTAGGAATATGTGTCCTTTCATGTCAAACATCCTGACTATTAATAATCTTCTGGTAGTCTTTGCAAAACTCGTTGATTCTCCCTAAAAGTTGTACTTTTTTCCTCAGAACTTCGACTATATGAGTTTCCCCCTAGAAGCACTTAGCATTTCCCAATAGGAAACGTATTCAATACACCAGCATCCCAAGGGTGACATGTACAGACTACAAATATGTGTGAATGGAGAACAATTTGACTATGGGCTGTGAAGAATATTCTGTCTATCCTCATTCATAAAAAAGAAACAACGAAGGCTTACTTTATAAAGAGAGGGAAACCTCTCAAAATAATACTCTCTCCATCAAGTCTAATAAGAAGATACTGATCTTGCCCAATTGGTGTGGCTCAGTGGTTGAGTGTCAACCCATGCACCAAGAGGTTGCTGGTTCGATTCCCGGTCAGGGCACATGCCCAGGTTGTGGGCCCGATCCTCAGTGGGGGGCATGCAGGAGGGAGCCAGTCAATGTTCTCTCTCATCGATGTTTCTATCTCTCCCTCCCTCTCCCTTCTTCTCTCTCTAAACTCAATCAAGAAAAAAACATTAAAAAAAAAAGAAGAAGAAGATACTGATCTCAATAAATTCTTACTGTGTTGTTACAGGGCAGTGAGAAGCTAGGAAAATTCCAGAGCAAGAGGAATAGGAAAACTGAGACAAAAAAAGTTAAAACAAGGCCAAACAGTGTGGGCAATTTGCAGCCAGCTTGTAAATTACAGGCCCTTTATTTCCCCAGCCAAGCACACTGAGAGCAAGTGGTTAAATGACTATCCAACTGAAGAATGCAGGCTAGGACGGAAGGGGGGTCTTTCTCAGAGAGGTGGGGAACATCCGCCCACAGCCCGAGAAATCAGTACCAGCTAACATCACACGCCTCACCAAATTAGCCTGACCAATTTTTAAGTTGATAATTTTGTATGGCCCAGGAATGATAATATAAATATCCAAATGGCCGAATTACCCATTTTGGGGAAGGGGAAAGGAAAGAAAGGGCAGTTTTATTTATTTTTTACTTCCTAAACAGAGAAATCAACAGTCTCAAGGCATGGCCAGATCAAATTGCCAATTACTTCTCATGAATTCTGGGAAGGCCGCAGCCAAGTAAAAAGGGACCTTGAGAATTCATCTGTCCCAAGGTATTCAGCAGCGGGATTTTGAAACCTATAAACAGGAGGGTAGAAAACACCTCAGTCCCCGACCCAACTCCCTCCTCGGATTAGCCGAGTGATGCCCATCTGTGCTCCACCCCAGAGAAGTGAAATATTCGCTTGCCTTACTTCTTTAATACATTTGCTTGCTTTAATTGCTTTAATAAATTGGCTTTATCACAACACAATCAGGGTCACTCATTTGAATTCGTTCCTAAGAGACTGACAAGAACCGAGGTGGGGGGGGGCGTCTCCTTTTGACTCGGGACTGCCCAGTAACACTTCTTCTGTGTCTGTGAGAGGTGCCTGTCACAGCGTCACCATGAACAACCTACCCTAAGAGCAATTCCTATTACACTTCATTTGAAGAACCAAGTCTACGCTGTTGTTTTGGCAGATTCATACTGTGTGCTGAGAAAAGTTGTTTTCATACGAAACCATGCTCTTAAAATACACTAACTCAAAATAAAATTATTTTGCTCAAAAATAAAATGTATTGATACAAAAATACTGAAAACAAGTGATATGAAATTCACATAGCTTTGTTTATTTTGGCACATTATATTACACATGTAATGAATTCCTTGGCACAAGGACAGGGTCATACTAAATAATTTTATTCATTGATATAGTCATTACTGTCAACTGACTCACACCATAGAAGACCATAAAATTCTCCTCTTTGGAGCTAATATATTTAATTTCCAGAAAATTGAAATATGGATTATTAAAGTACTCAAAGTGTAATGTATGATATTCACAATGCAGAATCTAGTCTATGTCAATTGAATTATATCATCAGAATGTTTATTAAATTGGTGATCATATTTCTAGACAATAGGAAAAGTATAGCTACTTGATATTGGAAAGTATCCACATTTTTTTTCATGTATTGCTTAGGGCAATAGGAAACCCTCCCAATTCTGACAACTGAGAAGAATTAGTAATAACACTCTTGACAATTTCTGTTCAGCGGGCTGATCAGAATTCCAGTAGGCTGTGAAGAATGTCCACCTTATGCTGGCATGAAATCTACCATTATCAGAAAATGACAGGAAGAAGCCTTGCCCTTAGGGAGGTTATTGGTATAAGTCCTAGAAAGCTCATGAAATGTTGTTGATCATTGGATGCATAAACATGAATTGATTTTTTTTTTTAAAGCTTAAAGTGAAATGAAAGTAGATTTTAAGTGTAGTAACCAAGAAATTCTTCCTTTTGAAACAGATTGAACATGTTTTTAAGTGAGGGAAACTGAAAGTATTGGTTATAAAGTACCATGAAGCTTGCTGTGATTTATATTATAGGACATTTAAGGACATTCCCTTGTAGAAAACCTGTCTAATAACCCACAGTGAAATCTGGGTAAGGTCTGTGGGATTTGAGGTTATTAAGAAAGACAGCCTGGATAATGAGCCTGTATGATGACACAGGATGAGATAAACCAGCAGAAAGTTTTGGAGGATCAATGAAAGATGGACGGAAGGAAGGATGATTGAAGTGTGAATGGGTAGACAGAGAATAACAAGAGTCATG